TTTTTCTCTGTCCCACACCAGAGGGCTCTTCTGATATGGGACACAAGAATCTCTCAACCTTTTATTTTAAGAATATGCTTGGGTTTAGAGGAGTGAGCCAGTTTTATCTCCAAAGCCAGCTTGGTATATTTGGGAATTTGGATGTAGCTTCTCATACTACTTCCTGCTGGATGAGGGCACTGTATCTTATGGGGACATAAAGAAAATATTAGGATTATGGGGTAGTCCGTGAGGCTGTATTATCGGAGCCAGTTGCCTTAAAAGCATTTTGGATGTTGGATCATCTGGGACATGGTGTCATCAGAGACCTGTCAGGGGGTCTTGGTTGGTCAAACCTGATGTATCTTAATCTGGAACAAATCCATAGCCTCTTGCTTTCTGTGGAAACAAAAACAGAGCCTCCTTCCCAAAGCAATACATCCTTAGATCCAAATTTTGAAGTCAAAGGGGACGCTAGTGGGAGAGATTTGCCCTGACTGCCAGCAGGCCAGGACACAGGAAAACTCCAGCTACAAACAAGTCCTTCTTGTTTTCTGAACTATTGAGTTTTCACATCCCAGGTGAACACTCCTCCCTTAGTTGAATATGCCTACTGGAAAGGGCTGAGCATGGCACCTGGCACTTAGTACGTTCTTAATAAATGTCATCTCCCTTCCTTTTATTTTCCCCCTGACAAGTACCAAGACCTTGTTCATTGATAGCAGAGGTTTTTGAAGACAAACATGTCACTAGTTTTCAGAAGCAATGGCCATAAGGGACCAGACCACAGCCAGCCTGGGCCTCTCTTGGCCCCTGGAAAAGGTTTATGATGTTTATTTTGATGACTTAGGCAGCCCTGAGCATTTCTCATTTGAAAGGTCTTATCATAGAATCTATTGCCTTCTACTGCTACCTAATGAGCATCCCGAGTGGAGGCTTAGCTGACCTTCCACAGAAGTAAGAGCCAAGGATTTAAATTGTAGAGAAAGGGATCTGCCCATGACCAGGCTGTCCGGGTGGGCCACGGGTGATGTCCTTCCAAGGCTATGTTCCACACAGAGCTGTTGGCCCAGGCACTTGAAGCATTTCCACTCCAGTGGACCATGTGCAGAGTCCTTGCCCCTGGCGGCCTCTGCTTCCCAGTCAGCAAGTTGGAAATACTGACTGCCTGTGTATGGGGAGCTCACCCACTGAGAGTACACATCAGATAGGCTCATAACCCTCCTCTGGCCTGTCTCATCTAAGGGATGAGAAACTGAAAGTTTTGGCCAACTGAAAGTTCCTGAGACTGCTTTGTCTTTGGTTCAGATGTGACATGGCACCATGTCACATGGTAATTAAAAGGTAGTTAAGCCAAAATTCAAAGGCAATCCAACCCATGCCTGTAATATCAGCACCCAGAACCTGGAGGCAGAAGGATCAACCTAAGCTATACAGAAAGACCCTTAAGGGGGAGGGGAGAGCAGTGCAGTAAATACAATAATATATGTGAGAAAAAAGACAAAGTTTAATAAAAAAAAGTAAAGAGTAATGTTTAATAGAAAAAAAAAAACAAGCAACTTACAAAAGGAAAAATACAAATGGCTAACATGTTTTGAAAATACCCAGCTTTGGAGAGATTGCTCAGTCAGTCAAGTGGTTCTGTAACCCACATTTAAAAAAAAAAAAGCTAGGTAGGGTAAGGTAGTATGTATTATAATCCGTAGCTGGGGAAGCAGTGACAGGAAATCAGTGAGTCCCAGGGAAGGGGGAGACTTTCTTTTTTTAAATAAAACCAGAAAGTTTTAAAGAGTGCAAGTTACCCAAGGAACAACAGATACATACAAAATGAAAAAAGAAGAAGAAGAAGAAGAAGAAGAAGAAGAAGAAGAAGAAGAAGAAGAAGAAGAAGAAGAAGAAAAGAAAATAGCCAGCCTCTTGTCTAGCATGTGGGAAACCCTGGCCTTGATCTATAGCACTGGGAGAAAAAAAATGAATGGATCCAAGTTCATTAAGAATCAAGGAAATTGAAAGATCCCTGAAGTGCATCAGTGGCTTCATTTGTGTAACTTCAGATGGAAAGGAAGGAAGCCCTCAACTACGGCACCCATAATCCCTCCTAGAAAACAGCTCTGGAACTGGCCCTCCAGGCGTTCACGGTGAGAATGGGTTATATTTATCCCCCAGTTTCAGCTTGAAATAGTTTAGGGTTGCTTCTTCATGGGGTGGGAGAAAGACGACACAGCATCAGTGAAGGCCCTTGATGGGAAGTTAGTTCCTTCTGGCTAAGAAGGCAAAACCTCTGCCCTGGGTAGAGGCCTAGCATTCCAGTTGGGCTGGTCAATCCCAAGGGACTGTCCCTCAGTATGGTAGGACCATCCCTAGGACACCTTAAGCCTGGGGCAGAATAATTAGCCCTTCAATGAGATCTCTTCTATAAATTCCTGCTCCTGGGGCTGTGTCTTACAGGGCCACAGCTGGGAAGCTTCACGGTGGGCTGGTTACATGAGTAGCTTCAGAGCAAGGTGATGGAATATTAGACAGTAGGCAAACAGCAAATGTGATGTGAAAAATGTTCACAGTACAGTAAAGGAGAAAACGGTTACAAAGCTCCACCTTTCACTGAGTATAAAACACCATGAACCAAACACTATGACATGTTCACTATTCATGTACTATTAAAGAAAAATAAATAAAAAGGGATGTATTTACATAGCAAGGGAGCTTTGTTGATGCTGTATATCCTTTTTTGATGGGGGCTGGGGCGGGCAGCTGGCCCCAGCTGTGTAGCTGAGAGTAGAAACCGACTATGGATCCCAATTCCTCCTTCCTAAGTGCTGTGATCACAGGCATAAGTCATCACATCCAGCAGACATATGATTCTCTAGAGGATGCTCCACTATTGTATCCAGAATTTTCTTCTAGATGCCCATTTTGTAAATCCTGATGCATGTTTGTTAGAAAGGCATCAGCCACTGTAAACAGCAAGTGAAAAATCCCCTTTTCATTGGTGTTGGAACATGAATAGAACATGTGAATTTCCGAACCATTGACGTGCAGTAGTGAATATAGGATGGTCCATCCTGTGCAAGGAAAGGATGCCTGGCTTTTGTCTCCAGGATGGTCCATCCTGTGCAAGAAAAGGATGTCTGGCTTTTGTCTCCAGATCCTTGGAAGGCCTTTGTTTTTTATGGCAGGCCCAGATCATTTAGTGCAAGCCAGTGAGGTGGATGACAACTCCTTTGTTTATGTGAAGGAGATGGCTCAGGACTGGGGCTGGCCATAACAAAAGGGTGAGCCACGTGATAGAGGTTGGGGTCTCTAAGTCACATGATATCAACCAACTGCTGGGGAGGGGTTGGAAACTGGAGATTGAGTTCAAATGAGTCTACCCATCACACTTACTCAATAAACTCAAGAAACAAAAGTTCCTTCAAAAATGTACACTTAAAAGAAAAAAATAAAACAGGCCAAGTGACACAGGACTGTAACCTCAGCTAATCTGAAGGAAAAGCAAAAGTTAAACACTTGACTGGCCTACAGAAATAGCTCAAATTGAGTATAGGAGACCTGTCTCACAATAGAAATTCAGTAAGTAAGTAAGTAGATATAGATAGATAGATAGATAGATGATAGATAGATAGATAGATAGATAGATAGATAGATAGATAGATAGATAAACAAACAAACAAACAAAGGTTGAGGCTATGGCTCAAAACCATGCAAGAGGCCCTGGGTTCAATCCCCAGAACTACAGTAAGAAGGAAGGAAGAAAGAATTGAAACTGAGAAACAAAAATAAACCTTTCTTCTTTATAACGTATCTCAGGTACTTTGTTACAGTGATAAAAAACTGACACAGATGGAAACTGACTTTTTCTATAAAAGAAAAAATTGGGGGGGAGGGCAACAAATTTCATCTCAAATTATTAAAAACACTAAATCTAAATAAAAATTTTACTCAACTTTTAATTTTAAAAAATGACCAAGGAGGAGCAAGTGGAGCTATGTCTCCAAGTCAATCAGAGGCCTAATCGTGACTATCACGGAGTTCCTTTTAGCAGAAACAAAAGGTTTCTCCTGTGTCACCTGAAGTACAGAGTTAAGGAAGATGCCCAGGCTGCAGCTGGCTTGGAGGTATCAACAGTTACTGATGAGCAATATCTAACAAGAAGGAATATCATGGTCACTACTCACACATGAGCTCTGGCAATAGCATCTATTCCACTGCCTGCTGCCTATGATGGGCAAAATTCCACATTCTTTCTAACCTGTCATGGGCAGAAAAATGGAATAATCACATTCATTTCTTTTTAAAGTACATTTTATTCTTTGACAATTGTATACTTGTATATGATGTATCTTGATCCATCAACCAAAAGGACATTTGTAAGTTAAACAAGGGTGAGCAGGCTCAGTGGAGCTAGGGCATCCCCACAGTGGATTCTGTGAAGCTACCCCACCCAGGAGTGGATTCTATGGAGCTCCACCTCTTACCCCAGTGAATGCTGTGGTGTTTTGGAATGTGTTCTCCATGGGTGGCATTTTGTTTTCTGATCCCTGTGCAGGGTGCTGTTATATTCCATCATGTGGAAGTGGCCTTGGAGGGACCTCCACACAGGCAGGTTCCTGTATGCACGCAGCAGTAGGCACCTGCAACCTGGTACGGGCATCTTGGCCCAGGCTCCCTGATGCTCTCCTCCAGCAGACTCTCCATCTTGACACAGTGTTAGAGAGATGACCCCAGGTCTTCAGCTACAGAAGCCTCTGAGAGACTTGCTTTCACTAGCAATAAAGATCGAAACCTCCCAGAGCATCATACTTGGCACATTTCTTCCATTAAATAATAAAATTAGGGTTGATTTCTTCAGCAAATATCACGTTCTATATGACAAATGACCCTAAAGGCAATAGCAGGAAAAAAATGCTGAAACATTGATATTAGGGCTGTGATATAAGCAGCAATAACCACGAAAGGAGACCGATATGCCCATGTGCATACCCTAGCCTGCTCTTGTTCTTTGTCCACAGAAACAGACGATTGCTCTACTGTCCCTTGGGGGCCTGAAGTGTCCAAATACCTCTGTGTGAACAGAGAAACTTCCTTGGTCAGTCTCTTAAAAATATGGATGTTTTCACGTTTAGGTTTTGTTTTGCAGGTGCACACGTGGATACGCATGCCCTCCACCCACCCCCACACACTTCTCTGAACAGAAGCTAAGCCTGGCAACTTGTTTTATTTGGTGGTGAGCTGGCATGGAGGTTCACTGAAGCTTGCAGATTATGGCAGGCTCTGAGCACCTGCTTTCTGAGCTCTGCTTTCACTGTTAAGGCAACAAATGAATAGGTTGCCTTCACTACTCCCATCAAAGGAAGACTCTGGTTTACCTGGAATGTGTGAGGCCAGGCCCCTGCAACTTCACTGCCCAGGGCATCTTCAATAGTCGCTCCAGGCTAATGAGCGTCTCTACTTGTAAATCTCTGTGCTCAGCTGGGTATGTAAAGGTCACCGACAGAGGGGTGGGTCAGTAGGATCCAACATCAGCATGCTCTCTGTAATCCAAGAGAGCAGGGATTGCTGGAGATGGAAGGAGAAACTGCAGATTTCACCAACATGGAAATCAAAATCTAATAATTATGACTGCAGCAAGCAGAGGAGGTGGACTTCGAAGGATGTGCCTGCCCCAGCAACGAGCCATGGGGGAGTTTAGAAAGAAGAATCAAGGTTGTAGATAGTACCAAACCACAGGGGAGGTTCCGATTCCCCAGCCTCCTCACCACACATCTGACTAGCTGAGTGGTCTAAAAATTTACTTAATTCCCCCATGACTTCTTTCCCATTTGTAAATGGGCATGCTAATGTATTATGAGGAATAAATGTTTAACTCCGGAGTGAATCTGCTGTTAAGTTTAATCCACTGTGGCATAAACAGTCCTCCCAATGTTCAAGAGTCCTTTCCCCTCACAGAGAAGGCCTGCAGCACTACTCATCCCAACATACTTACAACCCCTCCCCTTCCATATGCCCTTTAGCCCTGTGCCCCACTACCCAACCCCCATGCACATGAGGAAGTGACATTTATTCCCCTGAGGAGTCTAGACTTGACTGGTGGCCTGGCTGCCAGACCATCATGAAAGCAATTCTTTACAATCTCCAAGATGGGGACTTAAGGTGTAGGCATCTGCCACTCTCCCCTGAGCTGTTCCTTATGGATGCCATGCTCTCTTATAGCTCTATGCCCTCAAAATGCAGGCACCTCACCACCTTAGAACTGGCCACAGCTCCTCTCCTCCAGCAGCCTCCCCACCCCCCCACCCCCCCAGATCATCATCCTCTTGCCTCTTCTCTGCAATCTCCGGGCGGGACCCGAATTCCTCTCTGTAGTTCTGTTGCTCTGTTAGGTAATGAGCCCAGCTGACAAAAGCCGCTTAAGGGAGGAAGGCTTTGTTTTGTCTCACAGTTCAAGGGGGTATAGTCCATCGTGGTAGGGAACACGAGGCAGCTGGTTACATGGCATCTGTGAAGAAGCAGAGAGAGATGAATGCTGGCACTCTGCTTGCTTTCTCCTTTACATTTAGTCAGAGATCCCAGCCCATGGAGTGGTGCGGCCACAGTTAGGGTGGATTTTCCCTCAGCTATCTCCATCTAGAACTAGAAACTCTCTCATAGGCATGGCATGCCCATGGCATCTCCAGCCTGCTAGGAGACTCTAGGTCCTGTCAAGCTGTCAGTCAATATTAGCCATGAAATAGCATGAAGCTTTCACAGAGCAGTAATCTGCCGGGCTTTCTCTATTTATCTCTTAGAATATTGCTATTCGAGAAGTACATGCTGGAGCCACCCTGTTCTCCTGGCTCTCTGCAAATACTACTGTGCCGGGCCTAATGGGGAAAATCCCTCCTTGAAAAACCAACAGGGATGCTGAGAACAGAACAGAGAAAAAGCAAGGCAGAAATAAAAACCCAAATGTTGGTCCTGAGCAGGAAAGGCTTTTGAGAACAGATGTTTTCTTTCGCCAGCCATTTTCAATGAGAAAGTACCTCTGCTGAGATGTTATGAGATGTTAAGATTTAGGGGTTTTGCTTTAACCACGATGTTTCTGTCTCAAAACAAAACAAAACAAAACAAAAAAACAAGAAACAAAACAAATCTAGGGATTTTATATGATCTCTGTTTGTCTCTCTTTGTCTCTGTCTCTCTCTGTCTTTCTCTCTGTATCTTTCCCCTCCTCCATCCCTGCCCTCTGAAATAAACCA